GGGGCATGATTTTTATAATACAGCACTACATCTGATAATGATACTGGTTATATCAGTATATATACCATACTGATAATGGTGTTGAATAAAATGATATTATTAAAATTGTGTTATGTGATTTGCTTTGTAGGGGAAAAAAGCCAAGATATCCAGCAATGCCAATGAACTGTATAAAATTCCTTTCAGAATTGCTGTTCTACAAGACAGTATGACACTTAGATTGTAAAAAAGTCTAATGTCCTTCTTAGAATCACCCTCAGAAAGCAGGACAGTATAATAGTAGTCAGCTGCCCTGCTGAAATTTTTCCAATAGCCAGGAATACCTGCCTATTCTGTTGCTATCTTTCTGCTAATTGGGCTCTAAGCCAAATAGAACTGCTGAGGTTAAACTATTACCAGGATAGTTATCAAAATACTTATCTGAATAATTATCAAAATGAGAATAATGTACGTGTCACCAGGGGCAGCATGGTCAGTCGGGATCTCTTGAGAATTTAAATAGGCTGAACATTTCCTCCACATATGCACACAAGAAACTGAACATGGACACTCACTTTTATGAGCGGCCTATTCAATTTTGCACAAATACGTGTGACACAAGTGACTCATGCAGACCAGAAATATGGCCTCCTCAAGCACCTGATGCCACCTTTGGCAACACTTCCTCCAAAGGAGGCACTAAATTTACCTGGTGCAGAAGCAAGAGTAGCCCCTCCAAGACTTCTAAACAGAATGCCTTTCCCCATCAAGCAAAGTAATGAGCCTATACAGCCCTCAATTCCTAATGGGAAAGTGACCACACTCATTTTAATTTCTTCCTTTCCTGAAGGAAAGAACGCTCTGCCAAACAGCTGGAGCACCTACCGTCTTTGTCTCTGATTTCTCCAGGCAAGTTTGGTGGACAAGAGAAAGGCAATGGCAGTAGCACCTACAAGCTTTTCTCACTGAATATGTACAAAAGATGGATTTTCTTTGGGGAAAACCTCTTTATATCCATGTGGTCTGTGTGATTTTTCATTTTGAGAAAAGAAGTTATGCTTTTAAGCACTAAAGTATGGAAGCAACATCCTTTTCTAGTTCTTTTTGTTATATACTGAACGTTGGAAAAATAGGGCATTAATTTTGGATTTACTTCCTGTTTTATGAACAGCTAATTAGCTAATTTATTCCCAAGATTACAGTAGATCATTACAGTAGCAATTGCCTCATCTCTCTATTATGTTCACAAGAAACTCAGATATAAGGAAGCTGTAGAAAGTTGGACAACTATTAGGTTATTTGGAATGGTGACACTTGGACACATTGCCCATACAACTGTAGTAAGGCAGCCCTCCACAGTATAAAGCATGGGTCCTCAAACTATGGCCCACGGGCCAGATCCAGCCAGCCATGCTCATTTATCCGGCCCACCTCAGAGGTTTTGGACTCATTCGGAGAAAACCCTCTCTGAGCGAGTCCAAAAGCTCTGAGCCAGTACAGGCATTCTCAGAAACTGAGCAGAGAGTTGGCACATGCGCCAAATTGCAACAGCTCAACTGCACATGAGCTAGCTCTCTCTTTCACACCCCCCCCCCATTGCACACATATACAGAGAGGGAATACAGAGCAGGAAGCAGAAGAGAGGCGGGCAGAAGAGAAAGAGAGATGAAGAAACTAAAAAAGGATTGAAGGTAAGAAAAAAATAACTTTTTAAATCTATTTTTAATTATGTTAGCTTGGGAGGGCCAGGCTGCAAGGCCTTCTCCGAAGGAGTAAGCTGCCGCTGCCTCGCCAAGGCCGGGGCGGACAGGCTGAGGCGGAGCGGCTTACTCGAAGACAGCTGAGGCGAAGAAAGCTTACTCGGATAAAGCCACGGGGCTCCCACGCCTCTGCCACAGCCTTCTCCAAGCAAGCAAGCAAACATTTTCAATTAATATTAAATGCTAATTAATTTTTTAATGTGCAGTGTGCATAGGAATTCATTCATTTTTTTAAACTATAGTCCAGCCTCGCAACAGTCTGAGGGACAGTGAACTGGCTCCCTGTTGAAAAAGTTTGAAGACCCCTGGTATAAAGAGTTATATTGCAATATTTATGCTTTATTATTACATTGCACTTTCATCCTCTTTTTTTTCCTCTTATGAGGAACCCAAGTCAACTTACATACCTTCATTTTATGCTCACAATCTCCAGGTGAGGTAGATTAGGGTAAGAGTTTTGTGACCTAGTGAGCTTCATGGCCAGGTGGGAACTAGAACTCAAATTCCCAGGCCAACATTCTAAGCATAAAACCACATGGGCTTTGTACAATATTTTTAGCATGCGTGGAATGCTAATTTTTGCTCAACAGTTTTTAAAAACAAAGGTTCTGACAAACAAAAGTCCCTCTAAATTTCTGCTCAAACACTCTGTTGGGACTATTAGTGGCTATCAAAACAGGAACTGTATCAAGCCAGCTTCTGCAATCTGAGGGTGAACAAAACCACAACAAGCCCAAAACAGGAAAAGCCACAATCAAGGTCTTTGCAGCTCGTGCCATTGGGCTAACTGGTTCCTCCATAGCCATGGGGTCAGTCACCCAGGTTCAGACATCATGACAACCTGTCATGGGTATAGCAACCCTTAGCTTATTAATTATTGGAATAGCTTGTTGCCCATTAACAAGCCACGCAAGGAAAATTGGTCTAAGTTTGCACAATGAGTTCTTATGTAATGAGAACCCAGTTCATTTTATTTACGTTTGACTTTTTTAGACTGTCGCTTACCAAAGTCTCAACTGAGTCCATAACTAAGCTGATTATTGTGCCAATTTGTACTTTATAGTCAGCTTCCGCAGAAAGAAATTCTGAATATGATTGCTTGGATTCTGAATATGATTGCCCTAACCCTTTTCTTCCCAGAATAAGCAGCTGTTTTACTTTTTATATGCTGTTCATTAGTCACATGATTTTTAAACCATATCAGAACAATAATTAATAGGTTCAGCGATTTTTCTCCATTCAAGTGTATCCCCAACTATATTTCCCTGATTTATTAGTTTTAATGATGAACTCCTATCCAATTAGAATTCTGGCAAAGTTCTTTTTTAAAAAGTCAAATATATCAACACCTTTCCTTTCTACCCATCATAAATAAAAATATAGAAGTTGCAATGGGGATAAAGACATAACTATTACTAAATGCCTGAACTATGATTAAATACCTAAAACACGCTCACTTAAAGACAAGCAAGGAACAAGTGTTATGTGCACTAGGCAGCCAGCCCTGAGAGACACATGTGCTGTAACTACTTGGCCCTACTTGAATCATGGAAGGACCACTACAGCTTTCCAGCAAATAGAAATGTTATCTGCCCACAGAACAGGTTTGCTGGTGATGAGATGAACACTTCCACAAGCACTAAAGTTCATTCCTGGTATTCATCAAGTGAAGCAGGAGTGAGAATTTGCTCAGGTTCTAAATCCATTTATGTAAATACAGGACCAGTTTTAATATACACTTTAAGAATACACATGCATCAAAACCCTTATTGAAATATATTTTCCAGTCATATTCCCAGACAGCACAGATTCATTTGAAAGGAAGACTATAAACAGATATAGACAGACATTATATTTAAAATAAGTCCTTCCAGAAGGCTTTTAAGGTAATTCTGTTTAAAAATTTATATCCTGCTGTAGAGCAGGGGTCTCAAACTCAACTTCCCTGGGGGCCGCTGGAAGCAGAGGCTGGGTGAGGCTGGGCCGCATCAAGTGTTCCACCCCCGCGGTGGTGGTGGGCCGCTCATCCCACATGGCTCCCGGAGGCCGGCCAGGGCGCCGCCGGCACTGTGAAGGCCGCAGGGCCCCTCCCATCCTGGCAATTGGCCCATGGGCCACGAGTTCGAGACCCCTGCTGTAGAGCTTCAGGAAGCTTTCAAAAGGGCTTACAAGTAAACTAAAGGAAAAGGCAGAACTATGTGGAATATCACTCACAATAAATATGGCTCCTCCACACATGTATGCACAAATATATTGTTTCAGAGCGCAGCATTTTATAGGATAGCAAAGATTCAGAATACATATTGAATCTGTACAGAAAAACCATTTTAAAAAATCTTAGGCCTCTCATCCAAGCAATTTAAGTTTCCAAAGAATGAGCTAGTAAGACATGTTAAATCAGGCTATCCAAGGAAAAAGTGGATACTCTGCTACATAAAGCTTTTGTGATGAGCAAGATAATAATTATTTACCACTGATCTTTTTCAAGAAGAAATAATTGAGGAATAGGCCTTTTTAACTCTCTATATCACACCAGAAATCTGTATTACATGCACTCTTTTCTTCTGGCTACTCAACATCACTGCAAAATGTGTCTTCTGATACAGACATCCCAACCAACATTAGGCTCACCTAATTGCTTTTCTTTTTTGTTAACAGGACAGACATAGCACAGCTGTGGAATTTAAGTGGTCCAAAGCAGTATAGGCCTTGGATGCTCAGAAATGGAATGGCAAGCCATGGGGAATAAGGGATTCTCCTAAAAACTCAAGCATATTCACTAGATTCGAGGTTAAATGGACCATTCATACGGATGGCAATTTTTATCAGAAGACCTTCAAATGAGCTTAGGACGTGTTTATATGTAAGGCTACGTGGTACAGTATTGGTTCAAATGTACATAAAACTACTCCAGCTGATCTCTGTCTCTCTTGACAGCCACCTCCTGCTTCCCGATGAACTTCCTTCATCAGCTCAAGAAGGGAGGAAGGGGTATCCATATGGAGCTTTGGGAAATATCTGGGTTAGCATTAACTAAGTCACTCTACAAATATCATGCACATAACCAACCAAAAAAGTATTCAATCGATTTGGAAAACCTACAGCCCTGTTCCTATGTTCGGTTGTAACGAGTCCACATTGACTGACTCGGAAAAAGCATGCGTAAGACGTACAGTGCAATCCTATGTTCGTCTAACTTTTTTAAAGACCTTGGGTTTACTCCCAGGCAAGCGGGCATAAGATTGTAGCCTAATAATCTACCTTCCCCCTTGGCGAGGCACGGCACGAAAACAGGGTGGCATACAGGGCGCGGGGAGCCGATACCATGTGAATCACATTACAAGAAGCATCCGGTTGACCCGTGACTTCAGTCCCGAGGTTCGACAGACAGCACCGTAGACCGAATGGCGGGGCAACTACTTCCTCTTCCTCTCCCTCTCCGCCTGAGCTTATTGTTATACAGACCAGCCAGCGGTCTCTTCCCCTGTGCGCCAGAGGCCTTGAACGCGCCGGGACGGCTTTTGGGGCGCTCGCCCCAGGGGGGTGTGGGGCGAAGGCCCTCACCCCGCCAAGCAGGGCCTCGGCGGCTCCAGGAGGCCCAGTCCGCACCGCCCGCAGCCCGGCCGCCCTGGCCCGGCCGCCCGCTCGAAGGCCGCCACTCACCACTTGGTACCGGCTGGCAGGCTGGTGGTGGTGGTGCTCCATCTCGGCGACCGCGGCCAGATCCCCGCCGGCCCTCCGCTCGGCGGCTTCCTCGCTGTCCGGGCCACAGCCTCCTCTTCAGCCAGGAAGCCTCGACAGTGGCGGAGGCGGTGGCTCCTCCCCGCCACGCCCCCTTTTTCGGGGACGCCCGGGCTCCTCCCCCCGCCCCGCCGCCTGCGCCTTCGGCTTGGGAAGAGCAAGGGAAAGAAAAGAGCGAGGCGACGCGTAGTGCGCAGGGCGAGCGCGAAGCCGCAGCGCTTTCCTGCGCAACACGCCGAGAGCGCGTCTGCGCTTGGCGCGGGTTAATTTTTTTTTAAGGCTTTATCGTGGCGCAGAAATCCAAAACCACTGTTCATCGTAAAGATGAAGGGAACAAGAATAAGAGCTTTTCTAGTCCTGTTGACTTCTTGCTATGGTTTACTCGAGGATTAGAAAAACACAGTTCTACGAGAGGCCAAGGGGCTGTAGTGCTTCAGACAGCCTTTCCTAACCTGGCACTCTCCAAATGTTTTGACCTTCAGTTCCTGTTAATGGAAGCCAGCATGGCCAAGGTTCACTAATACTGGAACTTGTAATTCAAAACATTTGCAGGACACCACGCTGTGGCAGGCTGAGTTATACAGCCTGGAGCCCAGTAGACATGGATTCAAATTAGTCACTGCTTGAGTCTGAAGAACACGTTAAGCCTGAGTGGTACATAAGCCATTCCAGGTTTTAAATTAGCCTGGGACCCCATTATGTCCAACAAACAAGGGGGCACAGCAGGGGTCCTGAGACTCAATCCATCTGACTAGCTCAGTAACTCTGACCACAAACATTTTCACCAGATTTTTTCAATATCATGAGAACCCTGCAATATAACCCTACAAGCCTTTAAGAAGTTGTCCAAAACATCTTGTGAGCACCAGGATGAAAGAAGGCTGGTGTAGACTACCTTGTACTACGAGATGGACCAATGACTTGACTTGGTAGAAGGCAATTTCCTCTGTTCCATCAAATCAAAGCAGTTGAAATTCCTGACAGCCAGTTAGCTTAAATCCAAAGTTAACACCATTTTTCCAGGATTTGGTCTTGTATCTTTAACAGCAGTTTAGCATGCTGAAATTAAAGCCAACAAGAAGAGAAAGGTGGTGGAGTGCTTATGCATGTAGCAGGGGAATGCTGCCTAAATTTGTGTTAACAACATGGGAACAGAGTCAGTTATAAAAAGGAGTCTCTATTTCCACTATTGCCCTTAGTCTAAATTATCTAGAACAGTGATTTTCAAACTTTTTACTGTTGGGGACTGGAAAAAATATGAAAATTATTTCAGAGACCACTGAGACAGATATAAAAAGCATTATATGTGTAATATATATGAGCTGCCAGGTTATTAACAGGGACTGGCAGAGACTCCCATAGCATGCTGATTCTATATCATTTACAATGGCTGTCAATGAAGTCCAGGCCCAATTTAATGTGTTGGTAATGACCTATAAGGCCCTAAACGGCTTGGGTCCTGGATACTTGAAGGAGCGCCTTTTTCCCTATGTGCTGGCCTGCCCCTGGAGATCGGAGGCAGAGGTCCTTCTCTGGGAGCCCTCTTTGAAGGAAATTAGGAGAGTAGCTACTCAGAGAAGGGCCTTTTCAGCTGTGGCACCCCGACTGTGGAACATGCTCCCCAGGGAGGTTTGCCTGGCACTGTCACTTTATTCTTTTCAGTGTCAGGTGAAGACCTTTTTATTTACCTGATATTTTAACAATTAGTGGATTTTTATCCTTGTTTTTATTATTATTTATCAGATGCAGTGTGCTGTTGTTATGGTTTGCTTTGTTCTTTGTTTTTGTTTTTTTTTTTTCCCCCTTTGTAAGCCATCCAGAGACTTTTAGTAATGGGATGGCATCTAAAACTTTTAAATAAATAAATAAATTAGTATAGTATTTGGTGTATTAGTTTTTCAATACAGTACCAAAAAATGAAAATTCTGTAAAATTACCGGAAACTGAGCAGTAAAAATGCTAATAAAAGAAAATATTGAAATTAAATATAATCAAATACAACTAAAAATTTTAGATAGCAATATGCAATACAAATAAGGCTACTGCGAAATCTGCTGTTGCTTCTTTTCAAGAATACTTAATCAAAAATTTACAATAGCAAAATGCAAAATCAATATAAATGCAATGCTATACTCATAGCAAATACAAATTCAAATACAATATTAACTGCAGAGCAATATAGAATTAAACAAAGTTACTTAATACAATAATATTCATAATGTTAAATTATAAAATACAGTGAACCCCATCCACTCAAACCCCCATAAACACCAGCACAGACTGGCTGAGAAAACACTCTCAGCACAATCCCACCTCAGTATTTCCCTTCCCAGTAGAAAAAAGCAGAAAGTGGGAAAGGCCAGGTCTTCAAGGTCCCACCGGGGTGGCTCAGCTTCCAGTTAGCCCCTGTTGAGCTCACTCTCCCCTCCCCAGCCACCTGGCCAAGGAAGAGGTGGCACATTGGCAGTGAGATAGCCGCGAGCCCCGCGCTGGTCCTGGCAAGCGAGATGTCACCGTCCTGCATGCACACAACAGAGGCTCTTCCACCGACGAGCAGGAAATGCTGGCAGACTGGTGCTGGTCTGCGGACCTGTGGTTAAAAACCACTGAGCTAGAGCATAGTATCTGCAGAAAGCAGGTGCTGTATTTGGCAAAAAGGTAACTCTAGAACAAGGAGCCCATGACAACTCACATAACTGAGAAAAAGCACAAATCACAGTGGAAAGTGTCAGAATCCCAGAATGTCAATTTGAGAAGAGGGAATAAAACTCGGGTTCGTGGGAAAGACCAAGCGTTCAGACCATCTGAGGCTTTATTGTATTACCCCAAGGTTCCCGCGGTACTCACGATAATGCATACATTACCGGGCAGGCAGAGGTGAACTCTGCTGTAAAACTTCAACACAACTAAAGACTTTTTATACACTCCCAGTTACATACAGGTACAGGGCAACTGATGACAGGATGCAGAGATTACAATAAGATTCTGAGGTCATCACATGCAGAACAGATAAAGAAATGACAGTCAATCACACAGTAACAATGAGATTATTATTATTAGTAGTAGTAGTAGTATTATTATTACATTTCTATGCCGCCCCTTGCCGAAACCTCGGGGCGGCTTACAACACGATAAAATACATTGAAATAGATTACAATATTTCTAATTGCCTGCCTTGACACTTTAGTTCAGTAGCTTGAACCCATCTCCAGGTCTGCTTAGACATGTAAATTCAAGCTACTGAAACTATGCATGAACTCAGGACTCTTATCTACTCTAGACATTCTGAATTGGCCAGGGCACATGGAGCCTCTTGGCTATCAAAAGATACTCCCTTGTAAACTGAATTCCAACAATGACTATTTACAATGTATATTTGGACTGAATGGCCTGTCTACTGTGGCCTACAGCTAAAGGTGAGAGAAAGGAGTGGGGGGATGCCATTTTAAACAGTGACAGCTTGGTTTTGAGAAGGAAGACAGGATTTGATCCCACAATGCAAAGGCACACAGGAGTAATGCTTTTCAGACAGGATTTATCCAAATTTTCCCAACAAAAGCAAAAGCAAAGAAGAAGCCCTTTCATGGCATGTTACTGATGAGACAAAATACCTAAGCTCAAGTCAGTATATAAACTTTATAGACATACCCTTCCTAATATGATGCCCTCCATTTTGGGGTTTAATTCCCATCAGCCCCAGTCAGCATGGCCAAGGATCAGGAATGTTATAAATTGCATTCCAAAACATCTGAAGGATTCCAGGTTAGAAAAGACTGGCATAGGCAAGCCAATACATGTATCCATGGTAATTCTGCTCCTGTGGCATTCCCGATGGCTGGTTTGGGGGCAAAGAGGGAGGGAGGAAGGGAGGGAGGAAGGGAGGGAGTGCGAGCACCTGGACACAAGCAAGCCCTGACTTGGGAGTGCTGAACATGAACATGGCTCCTTCTCTCTGTTATGGTGTTTTTCTTTTAAGACAAAAGATGTTAATGTATGAGGGTTTTTTCCTAAACTAAAACCTCAGTATTCAGGTATTATTGCAGTGTTGGCACTTTGTGATAAATAAGTGGGTTCTGGGTTGCCGTTGGGCACTCGGGCTCTAAAAGGTTCGCCATCACTGCTATATATGAATGACGAACTCTGTCTCCTAGTGTGGATTCTTCCCCAGCCAAAAAGGCAGAGCCCATACGCAAAGGGAGAAATCAGCTAGCTTGTGTAAACCCCAAGGCTTACAGATAAACAAATAAGGAATTTAAGTAATAATAACAGCAACAATGCCAACGAGCACTTTCCAATGGAAACTGAACACTTTAACTGACAGGAAACTGGGAAGAAGGAAGCGAATGATGCCTGAATCAAGATACATGGAAAGTATGGTTAGCTAGAATCCTGATCACAAAAATTCATTTTGTTGTAGGTCTTATTTGATTCTATTATATATTTTTAAAGATTGTTCAACACACAGCTGATATGGTTCACATCAGTATCAGAGACAAAATGTTTATGTATAATAAGATGAGAAAATTATTTCTTAGTAAATAATAATACAAAAGTAAACTATATTGGCAATAAAAGGCAATAAATAAGCTGCATGAAAAGTAACACCATTAAAGACATCTGCAGCATACAAAGTTAGATACAGGTAAGCAGATGGGGAAAATGATATTGGCAGAGAAAGAAGAGTGCATAGATAGTGAAAGAAAAAAATTGAAGAAGGAAGGGTTTAAGACCAAGAGAGGATACTCGTAGAACTATATAATTTTGTCATGA